TAATAATGTTGTCAGTTACGTTTTCGAACTTATTAATCGAATGAAGAAATGCCAAGAACTTGCCGTGGAAAACATGAAAGAAGCTCAACAATGGACGAAAACATGGTACGATCGAAACGCAGTGAAAACAGAGTTTGCTAGAGGAGATTTAGTTCTTGTTTTATCAACGAATCGTCAAAGTAAACTAGAAGTACAATGGAAAGGACCTGGAAAAATAGAGCAGAAAATTTCAGAAACCAATTATATTGTAAGTTTCGAGGAACAAAATGAGCCAAATCAAGTATATCACATTAACATGCTTAAACCATATTACAAAAGACCAGAAATGATTAAGATGATAACTGAAGTGGAAGGAGACTTAGAAATGGACATTCCTCATTTACCTTCCAATCCAAGTATATTAAATTTCTCGGACATCATAGAGGAGAATGAACTCGAGAAAAAGGTTTGAAATCCGAAGCAAATAGAAAGATTTACGAAAGATTTTTATGGAAATATTCTAGGTTGTTTTTCAAATAATCCTGGACTAACAAACTTAGTTTGTCACGACATTGAGCTATTAAATAACGAACCAATACAGATAAAGCCATACAGACTGTCATCCCGACAGACTGAAATTCTCAAAAAGGAAATCCAGAAAATGCTCGATCTTAAAATTATAGAGACGGGAGAATCGTACTATACATCTCCCAGGATTTTGATTGAATCTTCATCAAAGGATCCTCGGCCTTGTATTGATTATCGTAAACTCAATGCTGTTACTAAAACTGAATACTATCCTTTGCCTAATATTGAAGAACGTATCGAAACTGTAGCAAAAGCAAAATATATTACCCTTTTATATTTATCTAGAGGCTACTGGCAAATTCCGTTAACAGAAAGAGCCCAAAGATATGCAACATTTGTAACTAGTTTTGGAAGTTTCCAGCCTCTACGTTTACCCTTTGGATTAAAAAATGCCCCATACTTTTTTAGCAAAGTTATGACTAAAGTCCTGGCTGGATGTGAAGGCTTCACTGTACCATAGCTGGATGACATTGCCATTTACTCAGAAAACTGGGAAGAGCACCTTAAAAACTTAACTTCTATTCTAGAGAGAATACAGAAAGCAAATTTAAGACTAAAACCATCAAGATGTAAATTTGCACAAGATCAAGTGAGATACCTAGGCCATTATGTGGGACAAGGTCTACGAACCCCGGATGAAGTAAAGATCCTGGCTGTAAAGGAATATCCTACACCTAAAACCAAAACAGAAGTACGTGCTTTCATAGGACTAGTAAGGTATTATCGCCAGTACATACCGAGATTTTCGGAAATTGCTTCACCCCTCATCGACGCTTTGAAGGGGGTAACAAAATAAGGAAATATACAATGGTTTGAAATATATGACAAAGCTTTTAAAAATTTAAAAGAGTTGCTATGCAAGAAACCAATTCTCTATGCTCCCGACTTTGATAAAAGGTTTATTATACAAACCGATGCATCAGACAATGGCATGGGTATAGTACTATGCCAATTAGATGATGAACAACGTGAACATCCTATCTTGTATATAAGTAAAAAACTTACTAAGTTTGAAATGAATTATTGTACTACTGAGAAAGAGTGCGCTGCTATCATCTACGCTATCAAGAAACTGCATTTTTATCTGGATGGTCAGCAAGAATTCTTGATTCAAACTGATCATAACCCTTTGGCCTGGCTACAATCCAACGCCAAATGTAACTCTAGATTGATGCGCTGGGCACTCTCATTACAACCTTATAATTTTAAGGTCATTTATCGCAAAGGATCTTTGCACAAGAACGTAGATGCTCTGAGTAGAATTAAGTAATATAATAACTTAGTGTATGTAACCACGTTTAGAATTTATTTTATTATTTAATGTATGCTCAACTGATGTATTTGAACGTTCTCCATTTCTTTCTATTTAAATGTGGTGTAAAAGTATATGTTTAAAACTTAAATTTTTGCTCTGAAATTTGGAAATTTATAAGAGAAATTACCTTTTCTCTTTAAGCATTTGAGCAAGCCGAGCTTATAAACTTTCGAATTTTACAGAACTTCTCCCTTCGGTAAAAGTCTCTCCGTTGGGGGAGAGGTTGTAACAGCTTTACATATTATTAAAATCTTATAGTTTAAATAATTTAAATAGATGAACATTAAGGTATTTGTGAATGGCAATATTTGAAACCAGACTCGAGTGCCACGTGCGACTCTCGCACGAAGAATGTAATTTATTTTTAAATGTTAGAATTCTTTTTCCTTCTTGTTTTGTATGTCGCCATTTGAGTGTTAAATAAAGTTTTTTCTGTGTTCCATCATCGAAGTTGCTTCATATCGCCAAAGAAGTATCACAGTCCATGCAGCCACCCTGTTCGCCGAGATTCGAACCCCGGACCGAATTACCAATGTTTGAATATCGTGACATTATGTCGCTGTCGATGGCTTGCGACTTATCTTTGTTAAATGTGACTGAAGTACAAATTGACCCTTAAGTATTATACTACAGATACATGTATTGTACAGAAAGGGTTAGAATGTCACAGTGCTAAATCAAATTTAAAAATGTCGCAGTGCTAAATCCAATGCTAAATCTCACATGACTGCAGCATTTCATAAGATTTTTATAGCTTTTTTGCCTAAGGTAAAATATTTTAATAATGGAATTTGCTTCCAAACATCTAACATTTGTTTTAATTATCATGAAAATGGTACAGGAGGGACACATCTTTTATTATACTGCTGCTTTTTTGTGTGCCATAAATGTGCGCCAATATAGAAAATAGAAGAATAGAAGTGTGAAAGTTCTTATTCCTTTTCAAGATATTTATTTGATATAATTCGACAACGCTTCTCTAAATAAATATTAAAAATTCCAGCAAAAAGATATGCAAATGTTTTTGGAAATTTTTAAATAAAATATCGATATTCTATTTATTTGAAGTTTGCACGAATTCAGAATATACGCTTAATTTTATTGATAATCAGATGTAGTACCTTTATTGGAAATTAATACCCTTTCAAATACAAAATCTTCCTTACATCTTAGAGTAAATTTTATGAAATAAAAATGTAGCTGAATATCTATTTTGTTTTGCAATAACTCAGGAAGAGAATTTACTTTTCTTCTTTCTGCAAAACATTATATTACTGTGGATCCTGTAATCTCACTTTCACTTGTAACTTTGCATAGTTGATCTCTGGATGATCTAAGTTGATCTCAGGCTAGAAAATTCAGTCATGAGATTAGCTTTAGCGTTCAGCCTCATAAAACCTCAGAAAGGGGATGAGAAGGAAAATTACACAGATGGTTCAGAACTCGAAGGACACATTAGCACGGCCTTCGTAGTATGGTGCGGAGATTCATGAAGAAAGATTTCAGACGGTTAGGAGAGACGGTTGGGCTTTAGTATTTCAGACGGTTGAGAGAACTTAATACAGTTTTTCAGGCTGAGCGTTTCACCATAAAGACGGCTCTCGAGTGGTGCGTGCAGTTCCGAAGGGGAACGAGAACATTCATTCATACGGACAGTTTGTCATTGCTCTATGAAATACAAATCCTAATCACTGCCACTTACTGGTAAAGGAATTTAAAAATTTATATCGACAGGCTTTAGTATTTCAGATGGTTGAAAAAAATGTATCAAGGCGCATGTAGGCTATTACGGATAACGAGTTGGCGATGATCGTGCAAAACGCGCCACCTTAAAGAACCTCGAAAGAGTTGGAATGGGTTCGTTGTGGTTGCGGCCGAGGGGATGGAGATGCTATCCAGTATTTAACTGAATGTGAATTCACACAGAATACCACACGAAATTTACATTTGTTTCGGGAAAACCTGACTACTTTAATGACGGACACTAACCTCTCATACCTCGAGCAGCTTACAAGAAAGGTAGGAGAGTTCGTCGGGCAGATTAACGGCAATCTATAAAGGAAATGTTCTCCTCGTGTGAGGTAATCTCAAGAGCGCCTTAGAGCTAGCGTTGATTCCGGATTGATTACCGTAAATCCGTGATCTAGGTTGTGCTCGTTCGATATAAATACTCATTCCTGGACATCACCATCAAACTGTAACTTACACGTAATTGTACACAGTGGGGGTAATGCTCCAGGCCTTTGTCCCTTTTTACATACGCACAGAAGAAAGGACTCTATTTTTCCGAAAATGAATGGATTAAAAAGGGATTTTTTGTGGCCCATCTGTACGTACGTATGTATGCACTTACCCCGCATAACTCAAAAACGATTAGCCTTAAAATATTGAAGTTTTGTATATGGGATTCCTATAATATCCATTTACGCAACCCTCTTTTTTTGTTGCAATCGGCAAATCCAAACGTATATATCCACCCTCTTATCAGGCTTAAAAGTCCTTATCCGGCCTTTATTTTCGCAATCGTTGGTCTTAGTCATATATTTACACTTAAGTGTTTTATACGAGGAAAATAGTCATGTTTGGTAACATAAATTTTGAAAAAGAAATTAATTTTCCGCAAATAACGGAATCTAACTCTTAGTGCTGTCTTTCAGTTCCTATATTTGGGAAAGTTTTATGCTCGTTATGAAAAAATGAAATTATAAGAAATTTGACTCCCGTACGACATAAATTAACCAAGATATTTCATTTCCAAATTTACAGTTTTTGGCGTCATGTTCAACTTGCCTTGAGGAACAGGTTAATTAAGTGAGAGTAATTCGAGAAAATAAGTTTAAACGAAGTGCAGTGAAAAGATGTATATAATTTAATAATCCATACAAGTAAGTCATGTGGTGTCCATATAAGAATTTTTATTGTCTTTTTTTCAAAATAATCGAATATAAATTCTTATGAAATTTTAGAACATAAATAAAGCAGATATGTTGCTCCTCAGTTTCATGTCAGTATGGCACATTCATTCATGTACACATTGTCATTTATTTATATATATTTCTCAAATGAACGTCCAACAGTTCTTATGCAATAAGAAAATCTAAAGTTATATGTAACTTACTTTTGCGACAATGATACCGGCCAGACTTATCCTGATTTTTGGATTTGATAAAGCTTTGTATCTGAGATCCACCTGGAAAAAGGGATTTTGATGTGATTATAAAAAAACTCTTTTAATTTATATAATCGAAATAACATAATAATAATAAAAGTTGTTTAATTGAAAAATATAGCACGCAATAAAATAAACGTATAGTACATTTCTGATAATGCGAAAACGGTGGAATTAATTAAAAAAATTATTTTCAAAATGACATTTTTGCGAAATTTATTTCATTATTGTTAAGGCGGCCTACATAAGAGATCCATTTCGGGGAAGGTGGTTAATGGTTCTTTAAAGTTCATTTTAGTATTGAAAGTGTGTAATGAAAATGAAGGAGGTTAGAAGTTCAGCGACTTCATGTAAATGAAATTTAAAATATTCTGAGTATGAACTAGAAATAAAAAAAGAGGTAATAAATACCATCCTACTGTCAACTATCACCTATTCCAGGGAGAACGGATCCATCATCCCCTGCCACAGAACCTCTCGAAAGAGCGTTATATTCACCAGTATTATAGTATACTAATCTATATACGGTACTCATGCCGCACAGGCGTCATATATTTACAAACATCGAAGCCTTTTCCGAGATTCGTACCCTAGACCAACGATAAAGTAGCCAAGCAGAATCGCTAACTGCTATATCGATTAGGGCGGCAGCATCCTCTAACCTTCCGGTGAATAGATACTTAAGCATTTCAATAAAATTTGAGTATTAGTTTTCGATCTACTAAAAATCACGCCTTCTCCCTTAACCAAGCATGGTGTTTTCAGCATTGTATAAGAATGGTGCATTTAAATGTACAGCTTTATTTCTTTTAGAACAAAGTCAGTGGCAAAACTTATTATACACATGTAGGGTGCTGTTATTTGTGTAACAACATAAATAAACTGTAATTTGTCTCACAAATTTCAAAGTATTACAACACACATGAAACAGAGACTAAAATTGAGTATATTATTAACCAAGGTACGAGAGCTATAAGTTCTTTACCTAAACAATGGCTCCTACATCTGCTCCAGTCCAACGCCATACGGACAAGTACTTAAATAGATTAATGAAGAATTATCACCTTTCTTTTTGTTTGCTTTAGTCGCGCAAGCGTCGGAAAGTTCATTTAGAACTGGAAGAGCCATAGTTCGAATCTTCGCGAAGATACAGTTAACTTCCTTGCTCCGAAATTTTTGTTAATGGCTTGTTCAGTAGGCCTCGAAATAAAATGCGGTATACAAATGACTAATTCGGTATCCTGCTTCTCTTCACTCGTCCTTTAATTGAGATAGAGTGTAAGGATTTATCACGTTCTCCCGTGCATGTTCTCGCTGTGTAAGGGGTTAACATATTAAGCTACTAAATGCCTGATTAAGTTTTCAGATTTTCCGCGTCATAAAATATAATAGTCGCTATGATATCGTTCAATCCATCATTTCAGTGACTACAAAGATTCGGTATCTTTCATTTACAACCAGGAATAATTTACCTGTAGGAAAAAGATCTGCCATTATATGCATTTTCCTAATACTTTCTAGACAGCTTCTTCCCATAAACGCGTGTATTATTTTAACGTGTGTTGGCTAATTTTAACATAAGAACCGAAATGCTACAGGCAAGTGTTTCATTAGGGCAACAGTTTTAGCGTGTTTTTTTCCATAAAGGTTCGTTTTCTTACATTGTTAGCCACCCTTGTCTCTCTAATTATTATGGTGGTTAGCGAGGCTTTGGACCTGAGTTAGAATACGGGAAAAGCACGGATGATTATCAGTGTTCAATATCGTATCGTCATAGGAGTACTTAAATACTACCGATCTTTCGAAAGAATGATGCTCAAGAGGCTTAGGGAAAGAAAATCGTTCTATCCCTTTTCCAGCGGGTTTGTCGTCCATCGAAATTAGATCAGACTGGGAAAACTCGCCCTGTGATCAATAAATGGCCAGGACATTATGCAACACATACATCATGGCCAAAATGAGACGAATATTTCATTTTGTCCACGATGAAGTCATAAACCTAATATAAGTCATACTGAGATCAGGAAAATTAGTAAGAAGAAAAACAGCAGAGCTACCATAGACGGTCAACCACACTTTTTGGAAAAATGCACCATTTGGAGATTTTGCTGTAATCTGAGAGATTACCAACAAACATCTGCACTGTTTATTATGAATTTCAGCCAAAGGTGTAGGAGCTATTGTTCAGGTAAAGAACTTATAGCTCTCGTACCTTGGTTAATAATATACTCAATTTTGCCCACAGAAAACGTATCGTTCGCTTAGCCCACAAAAAAAAACGTATCGTTCGGCTCCTTATTGTTGCTGTAGACCGCCCTAAAAAATGCGAAATATTGCATTCCAGAAGTAGATACTGTAGATTCCACAAGTAGTTTTCATCATAGGCATAACTCATCCGGCAGAAAAGATGGACAGTGTGATAATTAAACTATTTTTGTGATAACTTATGCACCTGAAAGGGATTTATTTGCGAAGTTAAAGAAATTATTGTGCATTACTTTTTAATTTCCCCACTTAGTTCTGAGCATAACTGATCCGCACATGCTCTTAGTTTTAATGGACATCCATATTTATTTGTTTATTGTAAATCTGATTTTAATCTTGCTACAGCCAATCCATCACATTTTCCTTTATGTCGAAGATGCCTGTTCTGTCCATATAATGCATCCCAAAACAAAATCAGATTAACGGATTAAAAAGTCTATAGCCATCGCTTCTCAGCTCACATATAGGTAGTCATTCTGGAATAATATTGTTGAGTTCGTACCGCTATCTCCCTGCCTTCTAAAATTCCCCGCGTACATACCCAGGACACAGCCTCCAGCAAAACAGTTTCGCATAAAATTAGCAAAGCAACAACCTTGTGTTTGGCGTAGATTTTAGTCAAGACTCTATCGATTTCGAGGGCAAACAGGTACAGGTTCTCAACACACTCTTGTTTTAGGAGATTCTGTTGTCATTCCCTTCTTTCCATTAATTAGCTATAAAGTTGCACATATTTTGCAGAAATTTAACTTTCGGGTCGTTTATTCTCCCATCAATAAAATTCCGAGTTCCATACTCAAGGAACCCATTCCGAATATGAATTCCTGGGGTATTTATAGGTTTCCTTGCCAGTGTGATTTAATTTACATTGGCCAAACTAAGCCTTAAAATTTCGCGTCAAGGACCATGAGGCATATGTCAGAAAAAAGAAAACACAGAAGTCTTCTGTTTCTCAACATTGTTGGTCCGAAAATCACACTTTCAATTTTTCTGCTTCCAAAATTATTCAAAAAACATCTTCAATTGGAGAACTGGATTTTCTAGAGGCATTTCACATTCAAAAAAATCTTTCTGTTCTAGTTAACGATCCTAATTCCAATCCATCTTTGCCTTCGGCCTTTAAAGAAATTATGTTTTAGTTCTGGTTTCATCAACAAATGACGCCACTTGCTTATTCTTGTCCAGGCTTTCTTATCGTATCTAATCATTATTTCCTATGTTCATTTGCGGTTTTGCAGCTGAGGGTGGTGGTTCGGTAAAACCATCGAAACTAGTCCTGTGAAAATTTTGAAAATATAACGCTGATTTTTGTTGTTTGACTTCTGAATTAGTATTTGTTCGGCGTGTTATTGTGTCTTAATTATAGGTCCTTCGCCATCAGGGGCAAAGAAAACTACGTGGCTGTTGTTTTGTTAATTGTGCTTGCTACACACGAGGGAAATCACGAAAACGCCCATGCAGCCAGTCCATTCCTCCTCCCCCGAGCTTCGAATAACAAATGAAACCACCTGTACTAACGAATTTTACCGCTCGGCGGCTAGTGGGCATACAAACCAGTGCTGAGGGAAACCCGTTTTTGACAGGGCTAAAGAAAGAGAAGGGCTGGGTCATCCCTTTGAGAAGAACGATGCCGACACGAACCCCTCTTGGAGAGGATACTAGATGTTATGTGACGTCACTGGGTTCGTCCCGTCGTCGACTGACCAGAGCATCAATGCGAAAGATGAATCTTTAGTTCTTGGATCTTCTTCTTTAGCCCTGTTAGTTTCAGAGAAAGAGTTTTTTTTTTTTTTTTTTTTTTTTTTTTTTTTTTTTTTTTTTACTTGAAAGTTATAACTGATGATACTTTTAAAGGGATTTGTATTTCGAAGTTCTTGTAATGAGAAATCATTGAAAAAATGGTATCGTGTGCCGTTGCTACCTGTAGCAATACGTATCATAATACGAAAGAAACTAGCGTGGTATTTCATAGATTTCCGTTATTTATTTTTTTCGTTAACAAAAATATTCAGTTAACGAAAAAAATGGTTGCATAGGTGTCGAAGAGTGGATATTGTTAACACAAAGAGTGCTCGAATATGCAGCATTCACTTCACTGAATCTGATTATGAGGATGATATGAAAAATAGGTTGCTAGGATTACGACAAAAAGATACTGAAGTCAATTGCTATTCCAACTCTTGTATTCCGACTTGGTTATTTATCAGAATACACCAAGGCAGGAAAGGCAACAAAAAAGAAAAATTCACAAATTGCATTTGAAAGAATTCAGAATTAAAAGTCCTAAAAAGGCATGTCTGGAACTTGAAACGATAACAGTATAGCTAGAGGAGCTCACTGAAAATAATATTACTCAGCAATGTTGTAACTGTTCCAACCTCCAGAAAAATGTGAAGATTTAATCATAAAATTATCAGCTCTTGAGAATAAAGGTTTCTGTTTTACAAACTGAGAGAAAGCAGCATTTTAAAAACTATCTCCCAGCCAAGAAAAAGATTTAAAAGGAATAGAACACTAATATTAGAAGAAGTTCGGAAACTGAGGAAAGACATTAAAAAGTGAATCAAGAAATGAAAACTAAGGAAGAAAAATGAAAAACGTATATTCAAAACATATTTACCGAAACTCAAATAAATGCATTAATGAAAAAAAGCGAATTAAATGGTCTCCAGACGATATTTCAAAAAGCATAGTAATCAGATCGTTATCCGTAAAGTCATACGACTTCTGGAAAGAAAAAATGGGTATTCCGCTTCCGAGTGCAAGTACACTGAAAAGATGATGCTCAAGATTCAGTTGCATTCCTGGAATTTTAAATGATGTACTGTTAT